TATATCTATATCTATATCTATATCTATATCTATATCTATATCTATATCTATATCTATATCTATATCTATATCATGTATGTATGTATGTATGTATGTATGTATGTATGTATGTATGTATGTAAATATATATATATTTTAGGAAAGATTTTATTTACTTATTTACTTACTCAGCTGTTTAATTCACTTTCATGACTCCAGGAAGCTTACAATAAAATAAATACATAAAATACACAATATAAAAATAAAACATAGCAGCTGGGCATCATCCAACCAAATATTTATTTACTGTTTGAAATAAAATTACAAGCTGGTTTTTCCAGTAGACCCTGGGTTGGGGTAATTTGTGAACTTGCATAAGTGATATGATTTAAACATACTTTTCATATTTCCTGGAGAGATATGTTTTATTGGGTTCATTCTTTTAAATCACATAGTCTTGAATAGCATGATTTAGGTATAGAGAGCTTATAAATAAAATAAAATCGATCAAATCAATCATAATAATTCAAGCTAAAAATGACCAGCTAAACAAGGAAGGATGGTATGTTAATACCTATCAGTTTGGAAATGAATATTGTTTCAAGAGAGAGAGGGAAAGAGGGAGAGAGGCTGAGAATAATGGTTATGTAGCTTCCATTTGTATTTTAAACAATCCGACAATTTTTCCAATCTACAGATTTTATATGCAGTTGGAGACTTTCATTTTCTGACTTTAAATGTAGCAGTTTGTCAATTTGTCTAATGTGGTGGCATTTGGGCAAGTAATGGCAAACCGAAAGTGGAGTCAGCCAGCCATCCTGGTGGAATCATGAGTGATGGGCAGACTGGCTGCTCATAACTCCTCTCCAGAGAAAGAGTGGGCTTGAGATTACCCACAGGTGTTCCAGGAAGCCACTCTCCACGAAGGGAGCCCAAGACGGTGATCTCCTGCAGGTTTACGGCTCTGGGAGACATCTTTGATCGGCATGTTTAAAAGGACCCTGGGTTCATAAACTACCTTTTCTAATTACTTTTGAAAATTTATTAACTGCTTTTCAGCTCTTAGGAACTTTTGGGTTAACAGATTTTACAGCACCAGGTAAGTTTCATTCAATCCTCAGTGAAATAAATTTAAATACAAGTCTAAGAACTTTTTTTTCTGGAGTAAACAACAATGGTGACTGATTTTAGGAAGTTACAAATGGATTAAGGGTCCAGATAAATTTTAAATAATAATTTGGAATTAATTACAAAGAAGCCTTCCTATGGGAAAATGCTATTGTTTCTTTAAATTCTTTAAAAAAAATAAAAAGATTTTACAAATTGAACACTAGAGAAAACTAGAAAGATTAAGGATTGCAACTAAAGGAGAAGAACGGTCAAACTTGACATACGAATACAAAATGAAGCAAAATATTTTGACGTTTGAAGTACTGTAGGATATTTTTGAACAGAAGTTAATTTTAAGGATGTCTGCCTAAATAGATAGATTGAGGTTAGGTAGATAGATAGACAGATCCTCTAGAGGGTCCTCCTCTGCGATAACCTCCTGAACTGTTTTCCTTCTCTCCAGCTTAGAGGCGGCAGAAGAAGGCGGGCTACAGACCAAGTGGCTGCCCTCTCACCTTTGCCTCCAGGGCTCCTCGCTGGCACATGGCCAAGAGGGTAAAGAGTTGGACCTGGATTAGCTGAGGGTCATCTGAGGCACGCAGGATGGCTCCGCAGTACTGATACAGGAAGATCTGCATAAAGAAGAAATAGCTGTAGCTCTCCAAAAGAACTGGAACAAATTTCACTCCGTGTGTGTGTGTGTGTGTGTGTGTGTGTGTGTGTGTGTGTGTGTGTGTATGGCGCCCCATGTTATTCTAAATTCTGTTTGTGCTGCTGAGCTCTTTCTGGCTCCTGGCAAAGAAGAAGCATTCTTTTCTACCTGCTCACAGACGTCCAGCATAATAATGAATCTACATAACAGCAGAGATTTAAATAAGGTGGTGGTGAGGCCAGATGGAAGAGGGGTTATCGGCTGAGGGCTCCCATAGGGAGAGAGAGAGAGCCAAACCACTAAAGAAACGGTTGACCTCTAACCCTGGGTGGGCAGGAGGGTGGCTGAGTAATACAAAAGGAAGGAGGGGATCCTACTAAGGACAGCCAAGGGGCTAGGGTTGGGGTGGGTCCATGCTCTGTGGAGCTCAGGATGGGTCAGTACATTCGGGTGGTGACGGTCATAGGATGCCATGGGATCCTGTTTCAGTGGGAGACAGAGGCCAGTCCAGTGTTTAACTGTGTGCTCGGGTCCTCTGCGCTCAGGTCCTGGTCGTCAGGCCTACAGGATGACAAGAGGACCAGAAAGAGCACAGAGAAGGGTTTGGGTCATAAGAGGAAGCTGAGCCACCAGGGTTCCTGCAGCTGCAAGAGAAAGGAATCCCCCCCTGGGCAGCTTGAGTTCAAGACCCAAGTGGAGCAATCCGGGCAAGAAACAATGAGTTGAAATGGCTGCTGATTTTAGTGGGTGCCGAGAAAGAACCTCTGAGCAGGAGGATTCTGCAACAAAATCGCCAGCCTCAGAGGTGGGCAAGCCTTCTTCTTCCCGGGACAAAGGAGTTGCGTGGCCCATCCTGGGGGCTGTGAGAGGCCGGCTGGGTGACTGAAAGCCCGCTGGCCTTCCTCTCGCACAGGGGGCACCGCTGGTCCTCCGTTCTGTGGTTTTGGGATGGAGAACAAAGAAGCCCCCCACTCACCCTTTCAGGGCTTTGGGTGCTGCATTTCTGGTCCACTTTCCTCAGCTCTTGATTGAGCTCATCAAAGCAAGCTTTGTCGGTGACGTCAATTAACAGTCGCTCTGCAAACTGTCAGCGGCACATGGAAGAAGCAGAGAGAGGGACGTTCAGCTCAGCAGCCTGAGAGAAAGAGACCGACATTTCCAGAGAGAGACAGGGAGGGGAAGCCGGAGGACAGAGGGGCACCCTTTGCCGTTGCCCCCCCCCCCCGCCTCCCCTGAGGCACTGCAGTTGCTTGGCCTGCTAAGGTTACAGGGTGGGGTGGATACAATAAAATCATGGGTTTTGCTTTGCTTTGATACACAATCGCCAAAGCGCATTTTGTTAGAATCTAACCTCCTCTGCCCCATTCCCACCCCCAACCCCCCACCCCGCCTCCCCGGAGCGATTTTCCTGCCTTTCATAAGTTTTTGTAAGTACCTAACAGGATATTAGTTGACCACAAGAAGCTAAAGCAGGAAGCTAGCATCTGACCACAACCGGTCACTGGGGTGAATACTTGTGCAAGCGGAGAGGAGGAGTTTCAAAGGAAGGAGAGAGGAGGGAGCTCGCTTTAGGAGGAAGTGGGCAAAGACCCAACGAAAAGAGAGAACCAAGATGTGGCACATGCTTTCTCAGCCATGGCGTGCGCTCTCTCTTTCTCTCTCTTTCTCTCTCTTTCTCTCTCTCTCACATCCTCCCCCCTGAAATTAGTTCAGCCCCGTCCCTTTTGACACTCCACAGGTCTCCACTCAAGACCTGGCTCTGTTCTCAGCCCACCCCCACCTCCACCCCCCCTGCAGCCCCAGGCAAAAGGAGACTGGCTTAGAGGTGGCCATTTTTATCCTCTCTTTGCCTTGGGTATGTATGCCTATATTATAATATTTATTTTACATTTGTATTATAATATTGACTGTTATTGTATCTCTTTGTTGTAAGCCTCCCAAGGTTATGTTTGGGAAGATGGGCCACTGTTTAAATTTGGTTAATTAATAATACAAGCTTTAGCTAAAGAAACATGGCATACTTTTTAATTCCTATGGGCACAACTTCCTTTAAGAGCAGGAAAGGTATTACTGGAGGGACATACAGGTGGAGAGGGTTGATTAAGAGATGCCCTTAAAATACTTTGGACCCTAATGTGACAGAGGTTCTCCTGCTGAGGGATAAGACAGGTGGGGGGCCTTGGGATCTACCCTGGCGGAGTCCTACCTGGTAGAGATATTCTCTGGGGCCATTTTGATACTATCCTGAAGTTCAGAATCTGCCAAAGATGGGAAACCCTTCCTGGGCTTTGGCCTAAGTGATGAGCTCAGGGCACGGCTCTCCCAGGGAGCCACGTGAGCAGAGAAAAAGGAAAAGGCCATAGATACGGTCTGAGTGGGGGAACTAAGGCCAGCAGCAATAGCCACTGTATCTCAGCAGTAGCCACCGGAACAAAGAGGGACCAGGACTTTTTACTCCAGAGGGAGGGAGGGAAGCGCTGAGAGGCAGCTGACCTTGTGAGAACCAGGTCAATCCAAGGATCCATTTGCTGGGTTTTTTCCCATTTGCTTACTATCTTTGGGGTCAGCCTGAGAATTTAGGGAAAAGCACAATACGGATCATCTGCTTGAGCAGGGGGTTGGACTAGAAGACCCCTAAGGTCCCTTCCAACTCTGTTGTTCTGTTACAGCTGTTATATCTGCTAATCACCAGATATAATTTTCCAATGTCACTTCCGTTACTTTGCTGGGAAAACTCTCCAGCAGAATGTTTACTGCATCCTGTTTCTAGGTATTCTTTTTCCTGCTCCCTCCTCCTCCGTCCAGCTGAACCCGAAGACTGACTTTTAAAGGTTCAGCCCTGTAGCTGAAATGCCTAGGTTTAAGGTTTAAGGTTTAAGGTTTATTGGGATTTATATGCCGCCCTTTTCCCTGAGGGGACTCAGGGCGGCTTACAACCACAGGGGAGGGGAAGTGCAAGGTCAAAACAAACAATTAGTGAACAATATATAATTTAAAAACTCACAACA